TCTGTAGACAAGAAGCTGTTGTACCAGAAGAGAAAAAAGGAAACACGACGACGGTGTTGCAAACGATTACTTAATTTTTTTCCTCCAAGTAAATATGGCAATGCACAGTAAAAATGCGACATAACTCTCTACGTCCTAACAATGAGGCCCCTAGTGGAAAACGCAATTATTGTTCTCTATACTGATTTCAATAACATAGCCTTACGATGGGTGGCCAGCATGGCCGCGTGTGCGGCGAGTTTTTCCTGACACTCACAAGTAATGGCACCCTTATCCATCATCTCTGCGTTTTCTTTGGTGTGTCCGGCAAGAATTGCTTGAAGCGTGCGGTTTTGGCATGGAAAAATGTTAAGGAAGAGAAGCCTTTTGTAGAGTTTTGGTGGTTGTTGACTTCTCCATCAAAAAATGGGTTGGAGATTAGAGAGACTTAGGGTTTTCTGCATTAAGAAATGATAGGAGGTGTTCATATCGTCAACTCCAGTCTATAATTGTATCCACGAGTATTTTGCCATAACGCACCTGTTGAATTAAAGCAGCGGCTTCTTTCACAGTTATCCTAGTTTTTAGTGTTTCACTCCAAGCTACAACCAATTCTTCCGCAGAAAGCTGAAGTACTTCTAATGTTCAAACGTAAACTTATACGTCTGCGCTTTAAACTCACCAAACCATCCTTATTTCGATCGAATTTGTTGAACATCGCCTGGATATCGGCTTTGCAGTTGTTCAGCTCAAACTTGTATCTTCGTAAGTTTTAAAGTGGAACAGAACAGCTTAGCTTGGTACCTTTATTTTGGAAGTAACGGCTGCCAGAAATTCTTCAAAGTCGATCTCCCCATCGCCACTTTTATCTGATGATCGCATGACAGCTTGAACAACTTTTGGCGAAACATCACAACCAAATCCATACAGCATTTGCGCGATCTAATTTGTTTTGTAACGGTTTTGGACCACATAAAGGTTAGAAAGACATTTATGAAACAATCGAAAAAAAAGAATTGCCTAAAGTGAAATAAAGGATAATGTGCTCACTTCATTAGCCGTTATAGTGCCAGATCCATCATCATCCATCGAGACAAAGATTTTGTAGATCT